ATATCACTAATGGCGAGAAGGGTTTATTCCTCTCATTCTCTCTGTCCTCGTTTTTTCTTCTTTAAAAAAATGAATCTGTGATTTTTATTCATTGGTGAATATCCTACAGAAGTCAGGGTATCTCTATAGCCCTCTTGATCTCTCTGTCACAAAAAGAGTATGGAAATTAACACCCTTAGACACGCAAATAGTTGCTACTTCTTTTCCATCTCCTGATACTGTTGAATCTCAGTTAATTGCCTGAACCAGTGACTAGGTTGGTTAGGAATTCTGAGAGAAGCAGTATCTTAAAAAGGAACTTTCCTAAGTTCTGTTGATTCCTATAGTTACTGATCTGTAGTATCGGCATTAGTGTTGCCAGATTTTCACGACAGCAATAAGGGAAAGTGGAAATCCATGACATGCAGGACTAACAGTCAGGAAGGCGCTGTTAACAAATTTGTGTTCTTCCAAAATACCAAATGAAAGCATTGATTTTGGATAACTTAGCCATGTGTTTCTCTGTAAAACTAACATATTGTTCACATTCATAAATTACATGATGCACACATTGCTATCTTTATAGAAAGCCCAGACCGGGGGGGGGGGGGTTGCAGACTGCCAGAAATAGTGCAAATTGAGTCCACTTTTAGGGTTAGGGTTAGGGCTAGGGAATCATGGGAACTGTATTTTATTGTGGCCCCAGAGCTCTCTGACAGAGAAAGCTCAATGTCTCAGGGGGAAAAAACAATTCCCATGATGCCCTAGCACTAACCCTAACCCTAAAAGTGGACTCAATTTGCACTATTTCTGGCAGTCTGCAACCCCCCATAGAGGATTTGATGGCATAAAAGGAAGAGTTTTCTAACCTCCTAATGGAGAAAATCCATTTATAGTAAGAAACCAGCTCTCTGGAAGGTTCCCACTCTGGGAGAAAGGCCTCATATAAGTGAAATACATAAAATAAAATAATAAGAGGTAGCCCAAATAAGCATTAATCAGCAAGTAGCAAAAGGAAGCAAAAATTGTGCCAGAACTCAGGAGCGAAGCTATGAGTGAGGCACCCCCCCCCAAAAAAAAAAACACAACCAAATTCTACTAAAGGCAACAACTGTAGTCCCAGGCAAAGTTTCAGTCCAAACAAGAAGTCTTTTGCAGTCCTTCCTGTCAAAGAGGCCCAGAACCTGAGGAGACTTCAATGCTTAGGTAGCTGCTCTAAAATCATGGTTCTGTGGTTCATCACACAAGACATCAGGTTCCTGACATGAAACTATTGCTTTGCATCTGTTTTATATGTAGATAGCTGTTGCTTCTAGTGAAGCACCTGCCCACCTGAATCCAGTTTTCCACTCTTGTGTTTCATGAAAGGAATTGCTGTCCTGTTTGCCTCCAACTGTAAATGCTTAACATGGACATTTAAAAAAACCATGTGTGCAGGCATGTGTGCTTGTGCAATCAACACATCAGGCTGAATTCAGGATATGCCTTCTGTGGCTGAAAGGACCCTTGCAAGCTGTGAAACACCTCAGATTCAGCGGAGGAATCTTAATGGCAAAATAGGGAAGTAATCTTTTCAATCTGATTGATAATCACTTGCCTGGGGTGTTACTCACTGATCATGTATCCACACTGCAGAATTAAAGCAATTTGATACTACTTTAACTGTTGTGACTCTATCCTACAGAATCCTGGGACTTGTAGTTTGGTGAGGTGTTTAGTCTGGTCTGTCAGAGAGCTTTGGTGCCTCACCAAACTACAAAATCCCAGGACTGTGTGGCAGTTAAAGTAGTGTGGATACACCCTATGCCTTCTGAGTAGACTTGAATTGGTTTGGCTTTAATAATTTGAACTAATATTTCCTCCACTTCTCTCAATGACAGACTACAACCCATTTGCCCAATTGATGGCCGATTTGGACTCCGTGGCCAAGATGAAATTCCACTGCGAGCTCTACAGTTTAAGCGTGGATTATTACATGAGTTCCGGAAGGGCAATGCTAGCAAGGAGCAAATCCGACTTCACAGTTTGGTCCAGCAGATCCCCAAGGCCATTATAATTGGGGTGAGGAAAGGAGGAACCCGGGCACTACTTGAAATGCTAAATCTCCACCCAGCAGTGGTCAAAGCTTCTCAAGAAATTCACTTCTTTGATAATGATGAGAATTATGCCAAAGGCATTGAGTGGTACAGGAAAAAAATGCCATTTTCTTATCCCCATCAAATAACAATTGAGAAAAGTCCTGCATACTTTATCACTGAGGAAGTACCTGAAAGGATTTATAAAATGAACTCATCCATCAAATTACTGATCATTGTCAGGGAACCAACAACAAGAGCTATTTCTGACTACACTCAGGTGTTGGAGGGAAAAGAAAGAAAGAATAAAACCTACTACAAATTTGAGAAGCTGTCCATTGACCCTAATACATGTGAAGTGAACACTAAATACAAGGCAGTAAGAACCAGCATCTACACAAAACATCTGGAGAGGTGGCTAAAGTACTTTCCCATTGAGCAGTTTCACATTGTCGATGGCGACCGTCTCATTACGGAACCACTGCCAGAACTCCAGCTGGTAGAGAAGTTCTTAAATCTTCCTCCAAGGATAAGTCAATATAATTTATATTTCAATGCCACCAGAGGGTTTTACTGCTTGCGATTTAACATTGTCTTTAACAAGTGCCTGGCGGGAAGCAAGGGACGCATCCATCCAGAGGTCGACTCCTCTGTCATTACCAAATTGCGCAAGTTTTTTCACCCTTTTAATCAGAAATTTTACCAGATCACAGGAAGGACATTTAACTGGCCCTAAAGTAAATTTCATACAACACTGTGTGTTCCACCCAGAGATATGCAACTGTGTCTCTATTAGTTTTAAAAATATGCACTTTTCATATATACAGCTATCAAAAGTAACCCTTTTTTTCATGCATACGTGTACATATGCAGTGTGTGACCAAATATAAAATGGGATCAATTTTTCTGCAAAGCAGTGAATAAGTAAAAGAATTACTCTCTGCATAACTGCATCATTTTATGCTATACAATTCAATGGGAAGAAGTCATTTAAAGAAATTAACTCAGCTATTCAGTTCAAAGGGTCAGTACTCTATTTACTCTGCAAAATTTAACACCAAATGAATTTAGAGGGGGAGTGGAATATAACTTTAGAAGTCATGGCATATTTTGGTTTAGGAAGGGCTGCAGTAAGCTAAAATATTGCTAAAAGAATATTAACCCTTTAAAGGTGTAAATTTGTGCTTCAGACTTCTATTGGTTTAACTATTGCTTTCCATAGGAATCCTAGGACTTGTAGTTCTGTGGCTGGATGGGCAAGTGAGGGCCAGGCTCTCTAGTTCTTAGCTGATTCTGTGGGGGTTTTTTTGGTGGAAGTGAACATGCACTTGAAAATAGTAAGAAAAGAAAAAAAACCAATGTAAGTTTGCAGTGTAAAGATATGCCCTGTGTGATGCTGAGTTTTTTCTTATTGTTTGAAAAAAAATTCTCTCATGAAATCAACATGGTTTCAAATTTCCTGTGGTGAGTTTGCACTATTTTTTAATTATTATTATTGTTATTCTTATTGTACAGTTCATCTTGGCACCTGTAGCATGTCAATCATGTGTCGAAAAAGAAGTCTCTTTTTTCCCTTCTTTGCTTGTATGTTGACAAAGAGAAACCTACTGTACATAATGTATATTGTTTGTAAATACTGGTTTCACACTAAGTAATTCTATTTTGTAAACTGAATATGGCTATTTAATTTATTGTGAAAATTAAATTTATTGTGGTATTTAAAAATGGAATGGATTAAAATTGCTATATGTGCAAGTGGCTTTTTTATTTCTCTTTGTTGTATTTTTGATTTTGTCTTATGATGTCTCATTACTTCAATCAATGTACCCCATTTCCATGCAGTATGGTTAGTTTATACATATATAAGGGTTAAACATAAAATGGAAGTTCATAGTATTAGGCCTCCAACAGATTTCCAACCCCCCCCCCCATTGGATTTCTAGAGGAATCAACTGAATCATAGGATTTCCTGCAAATAGCAATATTAGCACTCCACCTCTCTTGCAATAGCAGTAGCAATAGCAATAGCAAGTACATTTCTATACTGCTTATCAGTGAACTAGCACTCCCTAAGTGGTTCACAGCGTATAAGCCAATTGCCCCTAATAAGCTGGGTATTCATTTTATCGACCTACAAAAGGATGGAAGGCTGAGTGGATCTTGGAGCTCACCTTTAGGATCAAATTTACAATGTTCTGGCTACAATACCAACATTTAATAACTCCACTACCAGGGCTCCTTTTTCAGATCCAGAACCAGCACAAATCACTTGCCTTCTCTTTGTCTGGATAGAGAGAAAATGAATAATCTCTGTTCAACCCCTTCTTGGATCATCCCAGTGTACACTGAAACACATCATCCAAAATTTTATTTATTTATTTTTATTTGCTGAAATATCTAAATCCTCCCCTTTATTATGGAATTTCAGCATGGTGTACAGATAAAACAATTTTGAAACAATATCAGAATAAAACAATAAGGGCCTAAGCAGACGGCGCAAAGCGCCGTCTTCAAGGCCAGGAAGGGTAGGGGCAGCCTCACGCTGGGCACCCCAACCTCTTCCAGAAAACATCGTCGGAGCGGCCGGCCCTCCGCACGGCTGGCGCCCTGACGATGCACTTCCACTGCAGCGTCCGCACACACTGCAGCAGAAGAGGCGCCAAAGGTGTGCCGGACGCCTTTTGCGGCGCACCTTCGGTGTCTTGTGGAAGGAACGCTATTTTAGCGCTTCTTCCTGGGCCTGGGACGCTGCGCTGCTGGGCCGAGGAGTGCAGATACCTTGGCCCCGATCCGCAGCTTCCAGGGTGGCCCCGTGCTGCCCGTCTGCTTAGGCCCTAAAATAGCTTAAACAAAATAAAAAAAACCATGCTGACCAGAATTCTATATCATCTACTTAGTTACATAATCACTTTTGTTCGGTAGGTAAGTAGTGGTTCTCAGTGTGGAGACCCAGTGTGTTGAAGTGGTTTGAGCTTTGGACTACAACTCTGGAGATCAGGGTTCAAATCCCAGCTCAGTCATGGAAACTCACAGAGTGACCTTGGGTGAGTCACATATTTTCAGCCCCAGAAAAATCTGTGATAGAGTCACCTTAGGGTCATCAAAAGTCAGAAATTACAAAATGATGCAACCACTGCGAGCAATGGGGGGGGGTCTCTTCTCTTTAATTCAGGAAAAAGCAGGGTCCCTGCTGCAATTGTCACTTGCACTGGAAATTATTCACATGGAGAGGGATGTCAGTTGCTTACAGTATCTGCTGCTCAGTAAGTGAGGATGGGTATGTGTGCTTTCATGGTCCCTATATACTGTATTCCCTAAACTGGTGAATACATATGGATCATGCACAACTCTAGGCTGTGTGTGTGTATGTTGTGTGCTTTCAAGTTGTTTCTGACTTATAGCAAGCTTAAGATGAATCTATCATGGGGTTTTCATGGCAAAATTTGTTCAGAGGAGGTTTGCCATTGACTTCCCCTGAGGCTGAGAGCATGTGACTTGCCCAAGCTTACCTAGTGGGTTTCATGGCTTAGTGGGATATCAAATCCTGGTTTCCAGAGTCCAAGCCCAACACTCAAACCACTACACCACACTGTCTCTACACTCTTAAGTTACATATTCCTAACAGCCTTAGTGAATCCCGGCCATTAAACACAAGTTAAAACGGCTTTAAAAGTTACAGTAATTAAAAAACATGCACAAATAGAAAAGCCATCTCTTGACTCAGTGTTGGGAAGAAACCATGTTGATATCAATTGGACATCCATGGAGAGGCCATTCCACAATTGGGAGTACAACAACTGAAAAGACCTTCTGTCATGTCCTTCCACATTGCATTTCTCCCACTGGTGGAACATAGATGAAGATCCACATACAGAAAAGATGTCAATCCTCAGGTAGGTATATATAGAGGGAGAGAAACTCCTTCAAGTATTGAAATCCTAAGCTATTTAAGGGGTTAAATGGCATCACCAACACCTTGAATTCAGATTGGTACCAAACTGGAATACAGTGCAGCTCCTTTCAGACCGATATGTGCTGCCCATGGGTATGCTGATCAGCAATCTTGCTGCTACAAGGTTACCACTAATGTAAGTATCTGTTGTCAAGTTTCAATAAATATTGCATCTAGGCATTGGCACTGGTAGCTCTCCTTATTCAGCTCTTGAGTCAATGGTTGGAAGGAGATCTGTGGTGTCATCTTGACCAGTCTCTAAATATAAGTTTCAAAGAAGTCAATTCCCATGTTCAGCTGAATGAATGTCAAGGAATATTTGTTCTTAGGTGGTTCTGCTGGTATTTGGTATATTGTGATAAGTCACAATTGTTCAGAATTCTGGCATTTCACCTATAACCAAGTATATTTTGGAAGCAGCAGAATGAACCAGAAAGCAAAAACTTAGATTTGTATCCCAACCAGGATTTACTGCTTTGTCTTTTCTGAACATGCCAGGAGTAATAAACCAAGAACAAAATCTGGCATCAGAACTTAGTTTGTGGGGATTGTTACAAGCCAGGAATGTTTGTTCAGACATAGCACCAAATTTGCATGCTGGTGACTTCCAGGCAGTTTAGCCAACCCCACTACCAGGGAAATGCAGTAGCATGTACCAACAGACTTGCTTGATTAACGGGAATTGTGGGTTATTTGTGAAATGTAAACCAGGCTAAATTTTCTGAATATATCACATTTTTGCCATGTGCTAAGGTTTTTTTAAGTGTAAAATGCAAAAATATATAACTAGTATCATAGTACTAGTTGATAACATAGTATCAACAAATATGGAAAATGAAATGTTGACCAACAGACCAGAAAATGATAAATATACATCCCCATCCACAAAAAAGAAACACAAAAGACTACAATAACTATAGGACCATTATATTAATTTCCCATACAAGAAAAATTATGTTCAAAATTATGCTGCATAGACTCCAATTATATATGGAGAGAGAAATCCTAGAGGTTTAACCAGGCACTAGCAACTACATTGCAAACATACAATGGACAATGGAGCGTACCAAGAAATTCCAAAAGAAAATCAGCATGTGCTTTATAGACTATAGCAAAGCTTTTGACTGCATAAGAGCTATAGATGGTTCTTAAAGAAACTGGAGTGTCACTACATTTGATAGTCCTGATGAGAAATCTGTACTTAAGACAAGAGGCTACTGTTAGAACAGAATATGGAGAAACAGAATGGTTCTCAGTTGGCACAGGTTAGGCAAGGCTGCATTCTGTTACCCTATTTCATTTTCAGAAAATATCATATGAAAAGCAGGCTTAGACTCAGAGCAAAGATAGGAGGAAGGAATATCAACAATCTAAGATACACATATGGCACCATACTACTAGTAGGAAACATCACAGACTGGGAACAATTATTAAGGAAAGTCAAAGAAGAAAGTGCAAAGGCAGGCTTAATGCTGAACATAAAGAAAACTAAAATAATGGCCATGAATGACCTATATACATTCAACCTAGACAATGAGGAAATCAAAATAGTAAAAGAATTCCTTTATCTTGGATCAAAAATCAATCCAGAAGGAGACTGCAGCCAAGAAATCAGAAGACTAGGAATGGGAAGGGCAGCTATGAAAAACCTAGAAAAGTTCCTAAAGAGTAAAGATATATAACTGAGCACTAAAGTTAGAACTGCTGTATTTCCCATATCCATGTGTGGATGTGAGAGCTGGACAGTGAAGAAAGTGAATAAGAAGAAAATCAATTCATTCAAGGTGTAGTCCTGGAAAAGAGTGCTGAGGATACCATGGACAGCCAAAAAGACAAACCAATGGGTCCCTGAACAGATCAAGCCTGAACTCCCTCTGGAAGCCAAGATGATCAAGATAATGCAGGAGGTCGTACTGTGGCCACATAATGAGAAGGCATGGATCACTAGAAAAAAACAATAATGCTAGGAAAAATAGGTGGTAGAAAATGACAAAGACAGCATGCTGGATGGATAGACTCAATTAGGGAAGTCATGAGTCTGAAATTTGCAGGATTTATTTATTTATTTATTTAATAGATTTACATTCCTCATTTCTCCCACAAAGGGAACTATGCAGAGCAGTAGAGGACATGGGTTCTTGGAGATGTCTCATACACAGGGTTACCATGAAGGCAGTTAACAACAACAGCAACTCAGTCTATTACACAAATACATTAAAATAAGTCCAAATGGGAAATAATGTCTCAAATAAAAATAGTTTCATTTAACAAAATGTAAACTACACATATTTTGAAAAGCATCTGAACTATTCAGTGGAACTTCATCATGTCATTCACTCCTTTAACATGTGAATAAGTTTGTGAGCTTGTGTGAACTAGTCCAAATGTATAAACATCTTCAAGTGAATCCCTGAGCCATGTTACATGATAAGTTCCCTGCAATCTGAGATGCCATCATCCAGTAACAGATATATCACATGGGTTTTTGGTTGTATGTCCTATGATCCTAAGTGTAGATGCAGTAGAGATCTTTACGGAGGCCTCTTGTTTGCTTATGTGAATCTTGTTCTTTTGGCTGCCCTCTTGTGGCCAGATTTTTCTTTAAATGTATCTTCAGGGATCTTAAAACAACACAACAGAACAAAACAAAAAACCCTAACTTTCTTCAGGCTGAAAACACACATCGACAAGAATGCTTTTAAGTATTTTTTTCAAACTAACTTGTCTACGAACAAATCAGAAAATGCTATGTTCCAGATGTTCTATGGAGCCAAGAGTCATAATCGCAGTCCTCAAACTGCTTACGCTGGAATAATGCCATTGAAAATCAATTGAATTAATTCAGAGTTTCTGATTTGAAAACCACTATCAGAACTAAAGTGCTAGAAGAAAATTCAATAACAGCTGGGATGCTAATTCTACCAGCCTTCTTCAGAAATCTCAAGTGATGATAGTAATGCCAACACTTTGCTGATACTTCATGTTTAAAACTCAAAACTTTGTCTTAAGGGGGAAAGAATACAATGTAGAGTAAACTGGGCTGGAATACTTGAACCAAACATGAGTAAGATTTGAACTTCTGACATTTAGTACTCAGGAGCAAATCAGGAATAATTGATTTAATCTAATTCATCTGGATACAAAAGTTTGGTGAGAATCATACCTGTTTTGCTCCATTGCTACAATGATTTAGTGTTCTGTCCCATATTCAGATATGTTATATACAGTGAGCCCTCGGTATCCACTGGAGTTTGTTGCAGAACCGCCGCCCATCCCCTGTGGATACCCAAACCCACAGATGCTGAAGTCTCTTTATGTATAATGGCAGAGCTAAAAGGTGTCCTTTATATAAATGGCAAAAATTATAATTTGGTTTGGGGGATTGTTTTTGGTTTGAATATTTTCAAACTGTGGTTGATGGAATCTGTGGATGCAGAATCCATAGATACAGAGGGCTGTTCTGTATTCATAACTGTGGCACAATTATCACAAATGAAAATATCCCCTGGAATCCCCCTTAAATTTGAGGCAGTAACATGGAAATCTGTGGCATGGGGGAGTGGGGGGCTTCAGAATGTGTGGGTGAGTGTGGGTGAGTGTGGGGCTTCAGAATGTGTCTCCTGTCTCCCAAAAGCCATAGTGTGATGAGTAGAAGCACCATCACTTGCACTGCAGACCTTCTTGTCTCAGAAGGGCTCCCTTGAGTTTAAAGTGAGTTCCAACATGTGATTCCTTGGGACATTCATAATAATGTTTACATTTTTTTATGTTGACTTATACTTTTAAAAAATTATACTTTTAAAATTTTTAAATTAAATTTTAAAATTTTAAGTCACATAAGCCAAGATACTGCATCAAGGTCATGTAATATATATCTCCACAAATGGAGTTATGCTTAGATTATGCTACGTAGCTCTTGTGCTGAAGGGCACCATTGGACTACTGAATCCACAAGTGAATGTGCATGTGCAACCCCATGTGCCTCTGCATGTGCATGTGCATCTGTATACAGAATGTCCTTGTGTACACAGCCCCACTTCTGAAAACCTGAGTTCAGTGTAGACATTC